TTAATTCTTTGGTGGGAGAGACTGTCCCTATGACCCCATGGACACTCTATTGGAGCTACGCACATACAAAAACCAACCTTGCCTATGTTTATTTTCAACATGTGACTCTCTAATTGGTCCCACATAAACTTATTTTGCTTTCTCATTAACCTCAAATCCTTATCTCATGGGGGGCTAGGATCTGATTTGTTTAGAGGGGAAAACCTAGAGAAACTTGAAATTCCCATGAAAAGAGCCAAGGTAACTAATTATATTAATTTTAGCACATTCTTTGCCCATTTTTTTTGCTTGTTATGATGAAACTTTGCTCTAAAGAACAGTTGAATATATTGAATAGAAAAGATTCTGCATCACAGAGAAAGGATAGCTGTTCTTTCATTCATTCCCTTTAAGCCATTTGTAAGCACGAAGCAAACTTTTCTTGACTAGAGTTTAAAGAGGATAAAGAAACATTTTCTATCTTTGTTGTTATTCAGTTGTGTCCAACTCTTCATAACCCTATTTGGGGTTTTCTTGGCAAAGATACCAGAATGGTTTTCTATTGCTTTCTGCAGCTCATTTTACAGAGGGAGAAACTGAGGCAAACAGGGTTAATTGACTTGCTCAGGGTCAAACAAGTAGTAAGTGTCTGAAGCTGGATTTGAATTTAGGAAGATGACTCTTCCTGGTTCCCAGCCCAGCACTCTACCCACTACACCATCTAGCTGCCTTATCTATCTATCTATCTATCTATCTATCTATCTATCTATCTATCTATCTATCTATCTATCTACCTGTCTATTCATTCATTCATTTATTTGTTTATTCTATCTAGTTTCCTTATTTACAGGCATATTTAGGGTTAGGGTTAGGGTTAGGGTGAGCCTGGGCACTCCCAGTAGGTACAAATGCTATACCTGATGTCTTTGTTTCATCTTTTCTGTCTGTAGGATTCTATGTAATTTCTAGATCTTTCTTTCTTGTCCTTTCCTCAGCTCTTTCTACTTCTTCTTCTTCTTAGTCTCCTTCACAAGCCTGCAGTTCATACCAAGTGTACTGCTTCCTATGTTTTATTATTCTTTCTTCTCTTCCCTTCTTTTCCTTTCCCCTTCCTTTTCTATGTTTCTCTTCTCCTCTCTCCTTTCCTTCCTTCCTTTCCCTTGCCAGCCTTAACACACACTTTCGTAGACTCTCTGGATTACTGAGTTTCAGAGTTGGGAGGCACCTCAGTGTCCAACTAGTTCAAACCATACCCAAATGAGAATCCTTTCTACCCTGCGCTCCAGAAGGGCCATCTAGTTTTTGCTTTAAAGTCCTCCAATGAGAGGGGAGCCTATTACTTCCCAAGGCAACCCATTTCTGCTTTTGGATAACTCTAGTTCTTAGCAAAATTTCCTCTATATCAATCCTAAATTAGCCTTCTTTTTTACCTCCTCATTCTTCTTTTCAGAAGCAAGCAGAAAATATCTACTATCCCCTTCCAAAAGAAAGCCTTTCACTTACCTGAAGACAGATAATCTAATCCTTCAGATGTAACAATTTGCTCCTTAAGAACTTTGTCTCAACATAACAGAGGCAACTAGCAGAGTGAAGTGATTTTAATCCATCCTGTATGAGAAACAGTTTAAGAAATTGGGGGTTTTAGTTAGGAGAAGAGAAGGTTCGTGAAGGACATGATACCTGTTTCCAAGAATTTCATAGAATTATAAATCTACAGCTGGAAGAGACTTTAGAAGTCACCACGTCCAACCCCATCATTTTACAGATGAGGAAATTGAGCCTGAGAGAAGTTAAGCTACTCAGTGTCACATAGCTAGTAAATATCTGAGACAAGATTTGAACTTAGGTCTTCTTGACTCCAAACCTAGCACTCAGTGTGACTGATCTTTTCACTGAGTTAAGACTGTCCTGTGGAAGAGTAATTATACTTCTGTTTTGCCCAAGAGGAGAGAACAAGGAGCAATGGGTGGAGGTTGTAAAGAGGCCTTACTGTGCAAAATAAAAATTGGAAATTAAGGAGATGCCCATCAATTGGGGAATGGCTGAATGCTACTGTGTGCTATAAGAAATGATGAGCAAGATGGTTTCAGAAAAATCTGGAAAGGCTTAAATGAACTGATACAAAGTGAAGTGAACAGAACCAGAAGAACATTGTACACAGTAACAGCAATATTGTAAAGATGACCAACTGTGAATGACTTAGCTACTTTGATCAACATGATGATGATCCAAGACAATTACAAAGGACTCATGATGAAAAATGCTCTTTACATCCAGAAAAAGAATTAATAGAGTCTGAATGCAGATCAAAGCATACTATTTTTTTCACTTTTTTTGTATTTTTTTTTTATTTTGGTCTGTTTCTTTCTTCACAACATGACTAATGTGGAAATATATTTTATATTATTGTACATATATAACCTATATTAAATTGCTTACCATCTTAGGGAGAGGGGAGGGAAAAAATTTGGAATTCAATTTTTTTAAATGAATGTTAAAAATTGTGTTTATAGGGAAAAATAAAATAATATCAAATTTTAAAAAAAATTTTAAAGGCCTTATGTAATTGAAAACTCCCCCAACAGAGTGTTCCAAAAGTGAAATGGGCTTTTGGGAGAGAATGGAGCAGATTCCTCCTTAATAGTCTTCAAGTCAATGCTACATAGCTAATCACTTTTCAGGTAAGTTATACCAAATTCTGTTGGGAGTGTATGTTGGACTAGAATCAGGTTCCCCACCCCTGCACTAGCTGACTACTGAGGTCCTTCTAAGAGTTATTCTTCACCAATTCATGTTCCTCATCTGGTTTACAGCCTAGCATAGAATTTGCCTCTGTAATGAGCAATACCTCCCCTAGTAAGCCTTTGAGAATTTACCCTTCCTGATTGTTCTGCATCCCTCAGCACCTGAGGGCCCTATTTTCTCCACAGCATATCCTTTTATTTTGGGGTTTTGCTTTTGCTTTTTTTTTTTCAGACTGGCTCTCCCTACATCACCCAGGCTGGAAGTAGAGAGGCCACTCATGGGCTGGATCCCAAAACTGATCTCCACAGAAGCTGTGACTTGTTCTGTTTTTTTCTGATCTGGCCTGGTTGACTCCTCAGGCAGCCTGGTAGCACCTCCACCCCTTTCTCCTCCCCTTACAGCCCCCAACCTCTTTTGGGAGCTTACCATCTGTATACCGGACAGTGCTTTAAACTCATAAGCTTTAACCCTCCTCAGAACTTGAAGGTTCAAGAGCTTCACCCATCTTAGCTTTTCCCAGTATCAGGAATTATAGGCATGTGCCACTATTGAAGACAATGTATTCCTTTGTATAGAAACATTTTGCGTAGTGCAGAACGCTGGGCTTAGTCAGACAGACAGATCTGTGTGCAAATCCTGCCTCTGACACTTATTAGCTATGTGACCTTAGGTGAATCATTTACGTAGGTGCTTCAGGCATCTCCCTAGGACTTATTTAAGTCATAGCCTGGTGGAGAGAGAGATTCCTTGAGCTTGGTGATGTGTTAGGGGAGGAAGGTAAGTGGTCCCTAACCTGCAATTCGTCTTCCATCTTACTCCCACATCCCAACAACCATTACTGTGTCAGGGAAAATGTCCCCTCAACAGTCTGGGCATAGAAAGGAGAAACACAGTTTTGTGGCATTAAAAGGCCAATCTTTTCTATCTAAATTCTTAAGATATTTTAGAGACTGATACATAAGGCAGCTAGGTGATGCACTGCATAGACTGCTGGGCCTGGAGTCAGGAAGACCTGAATTCAAATCTGGCCTTAGACATTTTCTAGCTGTGTGATGTTGAACAAGTCACTCGACCTTATTTACCTCAGTTTCTTCATCTGTAAAATGAGCTAGAGAAGGAAATGGCAAACCCCTCCAGTATCTTTGCCAAGAAAACCCCAAATGGGGTCACAAAGAGTCAGACACAACTGAAATGAAGGAATATACATACATGCAATTCAACAAGCATTTACTAAACACCTACAATGCAGCAGGCACCATACCCCACACTACAAAGAGAAAAAAGGAGTTGGTCTTTGACCTGAAATAGCTTCTGTTCTACCAGGAGGGAAGCAACTTGTGCATAGAAATTTAAACACTGACTATACACAAAGGAAAAATTGAGGGCAGAGAGTTTTGGGGGATAAATAGGGCATAATGGACAGAGAGCTGTCGAGAAGGCCTGGGTTCAGATTCAGCCACTGATACATATCGGCTGCAGTCACTTAACTTCTTTCTGCCCTAGGCAACTAACTCTAAGACTATCAATTGAAGAGCAGGTACCGACAAGCATTGGTAGAGGGATTTCCTCACCAGAGTGTTCCGTACCAAGGAAATCACAGTTTCAGTTCCCATCCCTACTGTTAATACTAAAAAAACTGGAATTTAAGGACACCTCAATGGATCAGACTACATCAGATGACACAATGGATTTTTTTTAAATAGAAAAAGTCATGAAGTATGAAGTAAAAATAACTAAGCGTTTTGGAGTTTCACTTGCTATAAAAATTTTCATCAATTGACACATCTGGTCCCTAATTTTCTGAGGGAGGGCACTAGCAATTGGGGAGATCTGGATAAGCTTCCTGTAGGAGGAAACCCCAGAGCAGAACCTTAAAGTAAACTAGGGATTCTGTGAGGCAGATATGAGGAGGGACTGCATTTCAGGCATGAGGATCGGCCTGGGCAAAGCTACAGAGATGGGAAATGGAGTTTCACAGATGCGGAACAGCAAGCAAAACAGTCTGGCTATTTGTATGATTCCACACCTATCTGTCCTTTAATTTGTCTTAGATGGTGAAGAAATCTGACTCTCTGGAATATGAGAAGATAATAAAACTCCTCGATATTGTTCAGATTCTATTTTACAAAAAACAAAAATGACTTGAACTGCATGTATCTGAAAACCAGCTTTTTTGTCACTCTTTCTAGGAGCACCAAGTCCTCATTGTAATACAGATTATGATACTTAGGTCACAGCTATGTTTTTTTTTTCCATTTTGAGTAGAAGCTTTTATCATGAAGGGAACAGTGATGAAAATTCCAAGGGTAGCAGCTACAGTTAACAGGGGCTTCATCAGTGCTGAGAAAAGGAGTAGATGCATGAGGACAATCCCTGGGAAGAAGAAAGAGTTCTATTCCAGTTACATTGCTAAAATCCTAAAGCAAGTTCATCAGGATTTCAGTGGCTATAGCTGGGCCCTGGATATCCTGGGGTCGTTAGATAACTGGCTGTTTGAGCAGGCTATCCTGGAGGCAGTCAGGTTATCCTTCTTCAACCACAGGCAAGTGGTCACCACCAGAGAAGTGATCGAGGCATTGAAGCAGGTGCTCCCAGAAGGATGGACGTGAGGCTTCTGCTCTGACTGCTAGCTGACAATGGAATTGCATCACTGAGTGCAGTTATTAATAAAGCACTTCTATAAAAACAAAAAAAATACAATATCTTGACTTTAAAAAATTAAATCTATGAGAGAAAAGAAATTAATTTTGCACCCTAGAACATGAGGGCTTTAATAGCTTCTTCCTCTATTCCCTCTTTTAGTTCACATTTTTGGTCAAAAAGGGGTCCATTTTTCAACCAAGTAGTTCTTCAAGCCATCAAAATAAAAATACAACAATCCTCTTTTCTCTACTTGCCATGTCTCTTTTCTCTGTCTCTGTCTCCCTCTGTCTGTGTCTCTCCATCTCTATTTTTCTATCTTTCTCTGTCTCTGTGTGTGTGTGTGTGTCTCTCTCTCTGACTTTCTGTTTTAGTTTCCGTCTCCATTTTTCTCCTTCTATGAAAGGAAAGCAAAACAATTCCAGTACCCAGATTTTGCTCCTGATCTAAGTAGGCCAGGATTCATCAGGGAATGTACATGATGTGTGTTTGATTCATCTTTCTCCATATTCGGTTAAGGAAAATGCTTGCCTCTTAAAGAAAAGGAGGGGGAAAAAGGCAGGAAGGGGGGAAAAAAGGCAGGAAAGGGGAAATGGGAGAAAAGAGAGGACAGGAAGCAATTATGCATTCTACTGTAAAGAGATTTTTTATTCATCTCTACATCTTTGGTGGAATAAAAAAAAAAACCAGAACTAGAGCTTGGCCCCAGTTTCCTCTTCTATAAAACGGTCATGTTTGTTCTAGTACTACCTACCTTATAGGATTGTTGGCAGGTAGGTACTCCATAGGATTTAAAGCACCAAAGAAGTGTGAGTTTTTATTGTTCCCAAAGTCCAGCCTCCAATAAGTCTGGTGGGGGCAAATTGGAAAGGTATGTCCCTCCAAATTACTTTGCATTTATTTTTTAAATCTACTTTCCATTTACTTATCTGTATAAGTGTTGTTTCTCCACAGAAGAATTAAGTTTCTCAAGGGAAGAGCCTTCTCATTTTTATCTTTGTCTTCATGTTTGGTGTATACAATAGTAAACAGTCAATTAACAAACATTTATTTAGTACGCATCATATGCCAGGAACTGTGTGTGATAAGAATTGGTAACGTCCAGTCCCTGCCTTCAGGGTCTTACATTTTAAAGGGGAAGACAACAAGCAAATAATATTGTTACATATGATAGATGCAAATGGAAGTTAATCTCAGAGGGGAAACAGGCTAGAGAGAAGACAAGGACCAAGGTAAAAAAAACCTCCTGCAGAAGGTGGGATTTGAGCTTAGTCTAATGGAAGGTCAGGAAAACTAGGAAGTGGAGGTGTGGAAAGGAAGCATTCCAGGAGATAGAGTGTAAGGCACAGAAGGTATGATAATCATGGACTGTGTGGAGGAGGAGCAAAGTGTAAACAGAATCAGACTACTTGTTGAATTAAATTGGTAACTTCAGAAATGAGCTTATGCTTAAATTTGGCATGTGCAAGGATTTCTGGGGATTCAGTGGATAACACAACCATAAGAGGCCAGCCTCTAGAACATCCAGAAAATCTGAGTTCTCTAGCTGGTGCTTTCAAATTGTAAAGACAAGCAGCCAGTATTAGAGCTTCTTGTGCTTCTTAAATTTCTTTTTTCCTTACTTTAAGGTTGCTGGGATTTGTCTTGGAATGGGAGAGTATACAATGTTCAAGATAGAAGGGACCTTTGAGATTATCTAGTTCAATCTTCTCATTTTATGAAAGAAGAAACTGAGGCTCGGAAAGGAGAACTTAGTCAAGGTCATGTAGCAAAAGTTCAAGGTCATTACCAAGATATCCCTCTTGTTGGCTTGCCTAAGAGCCTGAAATTATCATATGTATTGCCTTCAGAGGCGACATCAGGAACATAGGGAAACTGCAATTATGCTGTTACACTAAAAATAAAAAAGACACACTATAGTTTAGCTCTCTGTGATATACTGACAGAAAGGATGTTTTCTGGCTATTTCACATAGTAAATGTACTTTATCAGCCTCTATAGCCTAGGAGTAGCTGAATCAAGTCCTTATGTAAGCAATATGCAAAGATTCAGTGCAATTATACCTAGGGAAGCCTAGAAAAGGGAGGGAGCAGTGCACAGGCACTGGCTACAGAGGGGAATACCTGCGAGGAATTGCACACAGAAACGAAAGGGACAATGAATTACATATTGGGTGTTACACAGGGATTCCAACTGCATAAGCCTGATGGTGACTTAAAACTAGCTCATCATCATTCCGTGAAGGTAAAATGAAAAGCAGAGCAGCGTGTGGGTGGGTGGGAGGGGTTAGAGAGTAGACTTTGGCTCCTTATGCCAATGCAGCCAACTTTGTACTGTGGGATATCTGAATTCCTGCTTTTATGTATGAGCAACTATGGCTTTTGGGGGGTTTGGTCAGCTTGCAGATTCCTTGGGGGATATCTTGTGTCTTCATTCTCCTGGAAGAGCAGGCTTCAGGACTTTCACTGGTCTTATATCTAGGTGCCTAAAATAGTATTCAAAGCAGATACAGGGGCAGTATGATCACCAGGAGAAAGTCTAGTGATCATAGGAGATTCTCACTCCCCAGGTCCTAAGAATCTGCTTCATGCCGCAAACCTGATGCATTTTGCAAATGCTCTCTCCTTCTTTGATGGTTTTATTCATCCCCTGGCTTCTGGTGCTCTGAGATCCAGGTTAAATTTCCATGCAGACCCAGCTCAAAAATCATCTATCTCTTAAGAAATCTTCCCTAAATAATCCCAGACCACTCCAATCATTCCTGCAATCCAAATCCCCTCAGCAGTTTGAGAGTTAAGAGTTTTTAGAGTTAAAACATACGTATTGTGTTATATTAACTTCGTACTTGACCATAGGCTGTCTAAATTCTTTTTTCTACCTGTGTCATAAGAATTCATGTTTCATCACCCTAGAACCTAAGTTTCTCAGGAGCAGGAACTGTTTTCTATTTCTTCCCTAACCTCCACAGTGCCCACTATGGTAGGCATTTAATGAATGCATTGATCAATCAATCAGTGTAACTTCCTGAATTTTCAAGCTTATTAATTTAAACTAATTAATATCTGTATTACCCTGGGCAAAACACATTACTTCCCTTAACCTCAATTCCCTCATCTGTAAAATGGGGATGATAATAGTAATTACCTCACATGGTGGTTGTGAGGATCAGATGAGCTGATGATATGTAAAGCACTTTGCAAACTGGAAAGCTATATATAAATGTCATTATTGGTATTGCTTTTATTATTATAAATAATAATCATCTAGCAGCCCACAGAGAACTGACTTTAGTGGGAAACATCAGTTCAATCATTCTGCAGGAACAAACAACAAATGGACTGAGTTTTTCACTTTTAAATAAGTTGCTTTGCCTTGTGAGGCCACAGCCTTGGACTTGAAAGATCCTACCCATTCTGACCTTGGATCTTTACCAAAGCTTTAAGGGATATTAACATTTCCTCTTCAAATATGGTTTCTTCCTCCATCCTCATATTTTGACAGATCACCACTTTGCAACAGTTTGGATTAAACACTTGAAGGCAAGCAGAAGAAACCACGAAGGTGACAGACATGAACACGGAAAACACAATCTGGACCATAACATCACTTGAAGAATAAAAGTTGAATCTGACTTTCTTGAAACTAATGTTGAGAGCTTTGGTAGTTCCCTTTCATGAAAGAGGCTATTTAAATATTGCATGGGATCTCTTTTCTCCTAGGGAATCTCTGTAGTGTTTCATCTTTTTCCTCCATCAAAGACGAGCTGCATATATCACAGAATTAGAGATTATATGTTGTAAGACTCACTGGGAGCCTGTGTCTGAGCTAGCATTTTCTAACTACTAAAACTTGCACCTAATTTACATAGTTTATTATACAATTAACAAGCATCATGCTAATGAGACTAAGGTAATAGGCAGTTAGTTTAGCCAGTTAGTTCTCTGTTCTCTTCAGTAGCCAAAGACTATCTAGCCTTAGCCCTACCCCTAGAAACACATGTGAAAATGTGGGCTATGGGTCATATTGGCAACCAGGTAAGAGAGGGGCTAAGTATAATCCACCCCTACCACTAGAAAAACAACTCCCAGCATATGCCTTGCTAATAGGGGGTGTCTATATGCAGAAGACAAATTCTAAATTGTGTTTTTGAATATCAATTTATTCTTCAAGGCCTAGCTCAATTCCCACTACCTCTGTAAAGTTTTCCATATTCATAACCCAACTTCCATTCAACAGTTCAATTCAGCTGGCATTGATAGCCACTCACTGGGGGATCCCATGTTCACCCTGGCAGTTTGTGCATTTCTTTGAAGGGCAAAAATGCTGAGAAGCTTTTCTCAGCTCCATGGTTACCAGAATCAGTAATGTTCTATCTCTCAGTTTTATCTCTCTCAAGGTGGTAATAATTCATTGTATGTGTGTGGGGAGCAGTATCAGGAGAGGGGTAATGATGGTAGTGGTGGTGTGAATTTGTAGATCCACCCAACTGGAACTTATTTCTGGCCCCTACACATTAGTGAAACTACCTCCTTCTTTGAATTTTCTTTATTTCAGTGAGCACAAGCCATAAGGCTAAAGCATAAAGCCATAAGCATAAAGGTCTCTGCAGAGGTAAACATACATGTTTGAATACTGTACGCAGTATTTACTCTTAGACTAGAATCAATAAGCAAATAGACAGTACATAATAACAGAAAACAATATAAGATAAAACAATAAAACATTTACCAAGCAGCTGTGGGCCCACTGATCCCCAGAAACCCCCTAGACAATTTCAGAAGCTGTTTCAACCCAAGAGTTCTAGGAAATGTACAGTTTGAGTTTATTCCCCTTTGGGCAGGCAAAGAATTGTAAATAACACAGTTGCCCCATCATATTTAACCATTCTTCCAGCACGACTGGTCCTCAGAAATACAAGAAAAGGCACAGGAGAAATTTTGAGCCGATTCTGGGTCTGGACTTGGGATCT